TGAACACTGGGACGGAACTCAATGGTAAAGTAAATGATTCTTATTTCTCATTTCAACTGTTGCGTATATTAGCTGCTACATATGAATCAAGATGCTATGACCGAAAAATTTGGATTGAAAGATGACCTTTGATATATGATTGGCCGAATTTAGGTGTACAAGCTGACGTACAACTAACTAGCCTGCATAAAATAATGGAAAAAACCCACAGATTTTAATATAAGAAATTTTTAACTTTTGGGACAATATGGTCTGATAAAGAGTATATTTATATATATGTTTAAGCCAGAATGATTTGTCATTTAAATATGACTTCCCCACAAATTTAAGTCAAAAAATATTTTCTTTTAAATCCTTGATTTTATTATGTGTATTCCAGTGCGTGTTGGTGCCAACAGTTGTGATGATGGGTTACCTGACGGGGGGCTGTCCTGTCCAACGTCTTCAGTCAGATTCTAACAGAATACAGATGTGTCAGTGTGGCTGATAAATTCAGTAACATCTGGATTAAAATAAGATTTCACAAACCACAGAAAATATTTACCAGCCTGTGCAAGGTGTGATGAATCTTGTGGATACTGGCTAGTGTAGTCAGATGGGAATTCAGAGGAAAATCTATTGAAACGAAAAAAAAAAAGTGCATTTTATACTGATAACATATATTCCACAGCAACCTAATCATGCAGCGGTAGAGTTGGATGACCTCATTATACAGCAAATATGTTGGGGTTTTTTTGCGAACAATCGCCATATCAAACATGCATGCCCCCGAAAACTGCCAGAAATATTCCCGTTTTTCCAAAAATAAGGCGTGCCTTTTAACACAGGAGTAACTTTCTGAAGGAGTGGTGGGGACATGTCCCCATCTATAATTTCCGCTTTTTTTACCCTTGCTGCTAATTTCCTTTAGCCAAAAGTAGCAGACGTTGGGTACAGCTAACTTTGTTCAGAACGTTTTGAGTGTGTTTATTTTTCCCTCTCTCGTGCTGATCCCATGTCCTGCCTCTCAGTGTAACATCATCGGATCTGTCGCTTTGAGACAGATCAGATGATGAGACTGATTTGATAACCAGCAGCTACTTTCATGTTTAAGTTATAGAAAAATTACAGATGCCTCCAAAAAAAAAAAGTTTGTTAGGCATACGCAGCTTTTTCCATAAAAAAGGCAAAAGATTGTAATTTTATACAAGTTAGTATTATAATGCAAGAAGTTGAGAAAATATAGTTTAAATGTTGTGTTCTTCTTAACTATAAAAGCTTGGCTTCTCAGAGAACAATGACTCCCCGTTACAGGTTAAAATTAACATGTTTTCTTATTTATCAGACAGAATCAGACTGCAGAACTTCTACATATCTTGAAATTTTGTTTCTGGCACCATTATATTATTAAAGAGGTTCATAAATCTTTTTAAAAAGAGCACAGAGAGAAGCAGGGAGAGCTGCAGATTAAAGGTGAAACAGATTTACTAGGGTGTGCAACATGCAATAAAATATATTTCCAAGTTTAAAAGAAAAGAATATGCTATGATATATGTAGCATATCCATATTTTTCTAGATAGCACTAAAATGCATCTTTGTAACTATAAATATTTGTCTATTATGGTAATCGTGTGTTCTCAGCAAAAGCAAAACATTCAATAAATATATTTGAGCTTATTTTTGGAAAATACAAAAACCTAATGAAAGCTTTTGGGTGGACAAACTGTAGGTACTTTCATCACAAAGTTACACCCTTGCCTTTTAAGACAACTTTAAAACAAAAATAAATAAAAAGTTTATTTTAAATGTAAAGTTGTCATCAAGTACTGATTTTTATTATTGATGACAAGTCAGGGGGGGGAAAGGAAAAAAAAAAAAAAACATCCAACAGAGAGAGCCACAGCACTAGCATACCTAAAATAGCAGCCCAGACAAGCAACTTGCAGAGTTTACAAAGTATCCAGAGTTTGGGCGTCTGGGAGTTGTAGTTTTTCGTAGTCGCGGAAGCCATTACGCGTTTAGGCACCGGTGAGGATACTGGACTACAACTCCCAGAGCTTTCCGCGCGAACTACTTCTCTCAGACCCCTTCTACCCCCAACATTTTCTCGTTCACTGCCTGAATACGTTTTACATTGATTAAAAAATGTATCGCTATATGGCGACTGGCAGGAAAGCGGCGCGCAGACGTTTTACGGTAGCTGCTGTAGGTGACGCAAGAAGCGACAGCGACGCTGCAGCAGGCAACCAAAAGATGTTTTACACAACTGCGTCACAATTTTCCTTCTCCCCAACAGTCCGCAGCTGCTCTGAAAACCGACCTAATCATTCTGACATGACGTCGATGTTGGGTTTCAGCAGAAATAAAAAGGAGGGTAAAGGAGACGACGAATAAAAAACAGTGCAACTCACCGATTAACCTCGAAAACAATCTGAACTCAAACAACGTCAGCGGGATTTGGCCGAGCACTGAATGCACAACACCAAAAACCCAATGCAGGTCATCATGAAAGGATTTAGTTATCCTTCTATGGGCTCAGAAAAGGTGAAATCACAGCAGCCGTCCGTTCTTTGTTGTCGCCCCAGACAGTGGAGGCAAATACAAAGAGAGGGGCAAATAACACGGGATTCATCAAACCCCACGGAGCCACGGGACAAAAGCGGATGTAGAAACACAACACGTCCGCTTCCCTCTGTCTGACAAACGGCTCAATGACAGATAGACACCTCGAATGGACGCAGAAAAGCCCCTGAAACGGTTCTACTTACTTGCCGCATCAGAGTGCATTTTTATGAAACATACAACTGTCTGTGGGAAGTCCGTAGACCGGCCAATAGGCGGGCCCTGCTGGCGGAAGGTACGCCCGCAGAGGGTGGGTGCGTTCCTCCACAGTCCGCCGGTGTGCTATCCGGACAAGAGGGAGTGGGAGGAGTTATCTTAAATTAGACTTAGATTTTATTTTTGTGATTATGTACACACAAGTGTAAACAGAAAGAAATTTCGTTAAGTACAGCTCTGTAGACTATTTCATTTATTAAAGTGCAGGTAAGCAGCAGTGATAAAAAAGGCCTCCAACTGCAAGTCAGAAACAATCAGATTCAGAAGGCTGTTGTAAAATCACCACATTTGCTCCTGGTGTTATGAGAAACAAGCCTGTAGTGCTATGAAATATGTTATACCCAAAGCCTTTACTTTATTTATCATGATTTAACAGGGGATCCAAAAGTTTGGTCTGCATTCTCTTTACCAGAAGTGAGATTTTTGAGTAACCGGTTGGAAATACACACAGAATTTCAAGAGATCTCATATCTCCAAGAATAATTACCAGTATAATTGCCAAGCAGATCAATCCTGGTGAAGGTTGCAAACAACTTTTGGCACCTTGTTGTTGTCTAACTTTTTTGTTTCCTGTCAAATGCTTAAAGTAGATGTCTAGAGATCTCACAGTTATATCTAAAGAGGGAAACCTGTATATGTCCTGGCTTATATGCGTCAAGATCTTCAAATATCTGGGCCTGGGTCTCAAGTGGCAGCCTAATGGTTAGGACATTTCATTTGAAGTCCTGAGGTTGCGAGTTCAAGCCCCACTCCCATGGACTGCCACTCTGGGTCCCTAGGCAAGACCCTTAACCCCACACTGCTCCCTGGGCGCCGCGCAATGGCTGCCCACTGCTCCCCAAAGGCATGGGTTAAATGCATAGAGTTCATTTCATTGTACTTGTGACAGTGTAATGACAATAAAAAACCCTGGGAAAAAAATCTTCTACGTGGTCGCCACTTGCCTTGCCGGTTGACAAATAGTGCACATCCAAAGGCTAAAAGACGGATTTGCACGCTTTCCTCCATCCTTTAATAGAGATTGGCTGCTAGAAGTGACATTTTAAAAAATCACCTTTGAGACCTCCCTGAAATAAAATGATTGGTCGAGGGTCGGCGAATGGGCTGGCTTTGAGCATGTCAATCAACAAATGGCCCTCGTGCAAATCTGCAAACCAGCCCACGATGAAATTTGATTGGTTGTTCATTATTAAATGACTTCACAGAATAAGCATGGGATGGCTTGGCTTAATGTCAACACAGCAGGGCAATGGGATAGGTGGCAGTGACTGTAGTAATGTTTTATTTGACCAATAAACCATTGTTTAAATAATGATATTCTAAATAGCTGAGGGATGCATACTGTTTACAATTCCCAGAGCTTTAATAATTTAATAATTTACAAAAACATTTATTCATCTGTCACAAGTATGTTATTTTGACTCTTGTTTTATTATTATACAAAGCATGAAGCCCAGGTCTAAAACAAACACAAGCAAAATCTGATTAAATCTTAAAATCTGTTTAAATTATGTGGCCTATGTTTTTAGAGTTTGTTATTTAAAACCTTACAAATACCCCTTTCACACCGGCCGAAAAACCCATTTAAACTCGGAAACAATCAGCTTTTATTGGCAGTGGGAACAGCTCACTGGCTTTAAAATCTCCTTGGCTCTGATCGGCATGCTCTGGGAACACCAGAGCCGGGTTGACCCGCTAATTTACATGACACCACTGAGCGCAACATACGGACGTCATCACAACACGCCAGTCACTTCTGATCTAACAGCCGAAACAACATTCAATAAACATACAGCAGCACAGGGGGAAGGGATTCGGAGGGACGAAAGAGCAAAACAATAAAGTACACCTACTACGCCATGGCTTCCTGACATGTTGCCCTCCATTGTTTACTTTCTTGATTTCTGTTGCACTGGTGACATAATCAAAGCTATCCCAGGGTGATGGTGTCACCAGAAATGCAAGGGAACCAGATGCCGATTGTTAGCAGATTTGAAAAACCCAGTTTAACGAACTATTTTCAGAGGAAAAGAGTAACTCGATCTTACAAGTTGTTGGCCAAATGGTCAGGCAATCCACTCAGGTAGCCAGCCTGCAGCTGTCTGCTTTACAGACAAGTATACCACTTATTTTTTTTCCATCCATTTCCACCAATCACATGGTGAAGTTTGCAGACGACGCCACGGTGGTGGGCCTCATCAGACGCGACAACGACCAAAACTACAGAGAGGAGGTGGAGCAGCTGGTGGAGTCGGGCAAAGATAACAGCCCGATCCTGAACATGAAGAAAGAAAGGAGATCATCGTTGACTTCAGGAAGAACCGTCCTAACCACGCTTCACTGCTCATCATCAGCTGTAGAGGTGTTCAACAGCACCAAATTCCTGGGGGTGCACATCATAGACACCCTCACCTGGAATGTAAACACCATCTCACTGGTCAAAAGGGCACAGAAGCGGATGTACTTCTTGCGGAGGATGAGGAGAGCCCACCTGCCCCCACCCATCCTCACAGCCTTCTACAGAAGCACCATAGAGAGCGTTCTGACCAGCTGTCTCACTGTGTGGTGTGGAGGCTGCAGCTCCTCAGACTGAAAGAAGGTGAAAAGAGGGGAGAGAACAGCACAGAGGATCATCAGGGCTTCCCTCCATCAGAGACATTTCATCCCGGCGCTGCGTGTCCCTAGCGGGCAACACCACCCCTCACACCCCCACCATGGACTGTTCTCCCTGCTGCCCTCTGGGAAGAGACTTCGCCGCATTGGATGCAGGTCCAGCAGATTCCAAAACAGCCTCTTCCCCACCGCCATCAGACAGCTGAATTGTTGAGAAAACCTTAAAATCAATTTAATTCAACTTATTTAATTAGCGCCAATTCACAACATCATCACAAGGCACTTTACATTTCACCAGATCATACATTTAAATTGATTCAAAGTTTTCTAATAAAGGAAAACCAGTTGATTGCATCGACTCATTGACTCGAATGCAATCCCTCACACTAAGCATGCTCGCAGTGACAGTGGAGAGGAAAAACTCCCTTTTAACAGGAAGACACCTCCAGCAGAACCAGGCTCAGTGTGAGCGGCCATCTGCTGAGGCCGACTGGGGTTCAAGGAGACAGAAGCAGAGATATAAAAGCAACTGTAAAAGGCGGCCCCGTCCAGGAAACACACAGCCAGGCAGACGAGCACTGAGCCAGCTCCTATGTCAGAGGATGAAGAGAGCACATGCAGCCAGTGATAGTCAGAGAAACAGGACTACACTGAAAAACAGGCAGTTTCCAAACAATTATAAAGGGTGTTGATGGCAGCAGCACAGGTGATATTTCTCTCCAGGATGGTGTCACAGCCAAACAGGAACAGACCAGATGAAGCTACTATGAGAAAAAGCAGAGAGAGCAGAACGTTAGAGATTGAACTAACAGATTCTGCAGAGTGGGAGAATAGAGAGAGAATGAAGCAGAATGATGAAAAAGGGGTCCCTATGTCCTCCAGAAGTCTAAGCCTATAGCAGCATAACTATAGAGATAGATCAGGATAACCTGAGCCACTCTAACTATAAGCTTTATCAAAAAGGAAAGTTTTAAGCCTACCCATAAAAATAGACAGGGTGTCTGCCTCGTGGACTAAAACTGGTAGTTGGTTCCACAGGAGAGGAGCCTGATAACTAAAAGATCTGCCTCCCATTCTACTTTTAGAAATTCCAGGAACCACTAGTAAACCTGCAGATTGAGAGCGAAGTGCTCTGTTAGGAACATAAGGAACAATCAGATCTCTGATATAAGATGGAGCTTGGCCTTTTAAGGCTTTATATGTGAGAAGGAGGATTTTAAATTCGATTCTTAATTTAACAGGAAGCCAAAGAAGATAGATATATGATCTCTCCTTTAAATTTTCATCAGAATTCTGGCTGCAGAATTTGGATCAACTGAAGGCTTTTAACTACAGCTTGTGGACTTCCTGATAGTAAAGAATTACAATAGTCCAGTCTTGAAGTAACAAATGTCACAGACTCAGCATCAAACTGACAACACCAAACCAAAACACTGCATATATGTTTTATGCTATGATCTTTCATATCAATGTGTTTCTTTTGCACCATGTTTTTTCTCCCACACTGTTTATATTTGATCTCTGCTGCACGTTAAGAAATGGAAATGTCATAAAAACTGTACAAAACAAAATGTCGTTTTCTATGCAATCTGTGTATACAAAATGACAATAAAAGTTGTCTAAGTCTAGTATTGTAGTCAAAGGCACACCAATTAAGAGCAAGGAGTACCGAGACCAAGACGAGGTCAAGACCCTTAGAGGCCGAGACCAAGACCAAGACCACATAAGGTCTAAGTCTCGGCCTCTTAAAGGAATAGTACACCCAAAACATGATTAGCCTTCATTTTCTACTCACCCCCATGCTGAACAACACTCTGGAGTACTTTTTTGATATCTCAAATGCATCTGGAGATCTGGGAGGCTTCTTGCTGTCTGCTGACATTCAAATAATGGAGGTCTATGGCGCCCGAGTCAGAAAGGTCCATAAAAGTCCACAAAAAACGTGTCAATATTCCTCCATACTGCTCGTCCAATGTATTCCAAGTGTCCTGAGTGGGTAGCGTCCATAATTTACTCGAAACGAAGTCATTTAGAATGTTTTTAGAGCATAAACAGTAGTGTATAGGATTTCCTGAAAGCGCGCGCCCGCACGTTCACGACGCTACGGAAGCCGGCAGACCAACCAGATGAAAGTGCGCATTCAGCGTCTGCTCTGCCGATAATGCAAACGTAGAAGAAGAAATGTGCTGTTTACCTGTGCAAAGAAAGAAACAACGAAAGAAAAATGTCTGAGGACTTCAGTGTTGAGGAAGAGCATGAGTTCTTTGCCGAGCTGAATGCGCTGGTTTGGTCTGCCGGCTTCCGTAG